ACTTATTTCGATTTCATCTGATGTGCACACGGTATGCGCATATGTGCACATTATGTATAATTATGTATTTATAATACATTATCAATCATACTGACTTGAACAACAATCCATGATGAGATTTTGCGATCTATAGATCCTATACCTGACGAACATTCTGATACTAGCACACTCATCAATAGGAGATCAAGAATTAAAATTTTATCTAGCTACCTATTTACAAACACTCTAGTGCAATGTGAAGGAAACAACTACACGGAGGAAAATAATTTGCTGGCCCAAAAAATTGTCTGCTAAATTTTTTCGTTATTATATGGACAGCAAAACGATTTGCTAAAAATACTAGTCACTATTTAATAGGCTGGATATAATTTGCTGAATCTATAAATTATTTTGCTATAAGAACTATGACGGATTTATATAAGCAGTTGCAGTTTTGCTCCGATAGCAAATAAATTTACTACACTGTAAAAAATCTTGCGTCCACAGTACATAAACAAATGTTCCAAAAAGTCCATTCTAAATTTTATGTCGAAAATAACTCATTCATATGTTCATTCGTGTGTTATCTATATTATGTACTAGTCTATACATAATGTACATAACACACAAATGTAAATTAACGTGATTCTTAGGACAAAAACACTCAACAAATTTTTTCTATTCTGGCAACAAAACTACTTCTGCTCTGCTTCTGCTCTGATAACATTTGTAAAATTAGTTACATCAACTAAATTTTTTTAATGTCACTACGAATATGCAGTAGCAACGACAATTTTGCTAAAAGAGCAAAATTATTTTTCTCCGTGTATACATTACGAAGGATCACAATCTCAAGGCTCACTCGAAGAGCTAGACCGTTCAAGTGTTTAGCGGTCGCGGGCTGTTAGACTTATTTATCATCCAAAATTATAATATACATCATATTAATATAATAATTATTAATATATATATATATGTATATATATTAATGTTCAACGTTTGCAAGGAAAGACACGAAAGAAGTGAATTGCACATCTCGTCCCGGCTTAATAAATCTTCTCAGAACGACGTGAAAACGTCTATCGAGGTTACATTCTAAAATGTCCTTTTTTGAGGAAATTTTACTCGATACTCTACAGTATTTGTAACGTAAACATATACTATAGGTGTTGAGTAAAATTTTTCTCGAAAAAGATGTTTTGAATGTAACTCAAGAAGCGACATTTTTTGTAACGTCAATTTACTTGTGCAGATTAAATAAATAAATAAAATTGTTAATATATAAATAATTTAAATTGTTAATATATAAATAATTTAAAGTTGTTAACAAGAAATGACTTTGTGTCTTCGATAGCTCAGTTGGTAGAGCGGTGGACTATAGTTGATTGATTGAGAGAACAAGAAATGGATCTAACAGAATTATAAAAGTTACGATTAAACAAAGTAATAAATTTGACAATGATTGTTAGCACACAAACGCGGAAGAGAGTGCACCAGTTCGTGTCTGTTTACAAACACCGAACATTGTCGTCTTATTATTATTACCTGCAGTTATCCACTATATTATCATTCTGTATATCATTAGCGATAATAAATATAAGACCCATTATCAGTCCGCATTCGCAATCCTCAACTATACTTTCTAGTATCAGCCACAAGTACGATCACTTTGTTTTGTTTCGTACATTCCTTCTGAGTTTTATACTTAATTTTTTTCATTTCGCAAAGGTTCCTGCCTCTTGGAAATGAAATGATTAAATTTTAACCCTTAGCACTCCGAAATATATCTGTGAAACATATGACGATTGTTTCCGTAGCGGAGCCAACAGAGCACTAAGGTTAAAATTGTTTTCTTGTTACAATTTATGCAATATTTCAGCTTAACATTATATTTACATAAATAGTAATAGTAAAAACAACACGGGCGATGAGTTTACATTGGCTGCATTCAGTAGACTCAACAGTTGCACAACAGTTGAGTAATTTGTCAATGTAATTGGTCTAGATTTAGGGATCTAATAACAAGAACCAATAATCGTTGATTGCTCACTGAGCGCTTTTTCTACTGAATGCGCCCATTGTAAAAATCTTGCGTACACAGTACGTAAACAAATGTTCCAAAAAATCCACTCTAAATCTAGTGTCAAAAATAACTCATTCATATATCTATTCGTGTGTTATTTATGTCATATACTAGTCAATATATAATGTATATAACACAAGAATAAATATATGAATGAGTTATTTTTTACACTAAATTTAGAGTGAACTTTTTGGAACATTTGTTTACGTACTGTGTACGCAAGATTTTTTACAATGTAGACACACGATTCATAACACTGAGCTCGTGCAGATGAAATGCATCAAACTGAATAGGAAAAAGTCCTGTACTAATATTACTTAAATTACTATTACTAGAATTTTTTTTATTTATTCTTACTTTTACTCCTATTATTAAATTTAATTTCTTAACTTAGCAATAGCTAACGAAATTTATGACATGTTAGAGGACTCTCCTGTTCAGTTGGATGCGTTTTATCTGCACACGAGTATTATGTCGTGAAATGTTGGACACTTATATGCAAGAGAACGAATCCGTATGAGAAATGAACGTCATTATTAGTGACCGGTAATATAATGTCGATATCGGAGTAATCTTTCGGCGGTACACAATCGCAACAATGCTATTTATACGATAAATACATTTGCTGCCGTAATTGTGCTCGGAGAGAATTCTAGATCTATAGGAAAGAAATTCATACGCTTCTTTGGTACCTCTATCTTTCGAAAAGAGCTTTCCTTGAAAACTATTTCCAAGGAAAGCTTTTTTTCTCATGTGCTTATAACGCTACACCTTTTTCTCTGCAAGAAGATTACATAGAGAAAATTACTCGGAGAGAATTATTTTTTTCTGAATTTAATTAATTTTTCTATTAAATTCTTTTTTAATATATCTGTGAATTTATCGTGAATAAATTTTATTTAATCCAAAGAAATGCGTTTGATATAATTATTCGTAATCTTTTTATCGAACATGTTATTAAATATTTGCATACGAAATTTTTCAACTAATCGTATACGAGATTAATCTTTTATGAAAAAAGTATGACCTAATGGCCGATATTCATAATCCGACCTTATATTTAAAGTCATCTTAAGTACTGTTTTAAGATGTCATGAACCAATCACAGAGCTATATTCGCATCTTAAGACATTACTTATAATATAATTAGAAATAAAATTCGATTATGAATACCGGCCTAAGACCGTTTTAAATTCACCTTAAGAAACTGGATAACCAATGAAATTATCCGTACACTGAGAGAAGAATTTAGTAAATATTATCAAAATTTGGTTACTATTACTAAATGATAGACGTAAATATAGCGGGCCAAAGCTATAGCAATACTTATTAATTAATTTAGTTCTGTAAAATAAATTATTTATTTGACAGAAGTAAAATTTATTTGCTTCCAGAATATATTTGGTAAATAAAACTTATTGAATAGTTGAGCAAAATAAGCGATTTTGTAATAGTTACAAAATTTTTGATAGGTTCTAATATCTGTAATAATAGATATTGAAACGATGTAATAGCTGCAAATGAATGAATTTTTCGTTGGGCTGCAACAAAACATACTTATACTGGTAACAAAATAGAACTCGTACCTACTGAATTTTTTATTATATGGGATATAACGATTTCATAACAATTATCAAATATCTGTTCATAACTGTAATATATTTCATATTAAATATTTAACATTAAGTAACTATTACTAAATTATTTAATTGATGTTACTGTGAATGCAATTACGTCATACTCCCGATCTATTAAATATTTGGTAATTATTATCATATTTAGTATTAGTTACTAAGGATTCAATGAATTTCTGTAACTAAATGCAGTTTGTTATAGTTACCAGTCTTTTCTCTCAGTGTACAGCATCTTAGATGAATTTAAGATCTTAAGAAGACGACCTTAAATATAAGAGCCGACTATGAATACTACATTGAGAGAAAAATATAGTTGCCTTTGACGTCAACTATACGCTCTTGTGATTTTAACCACAAAAATAATTAGAAGAACTATCTTTCTAATAACACTTATTAAAACAATGGTTCTTCTAATTATTTTTGTGGTTAAAATCACAAGAGCGTATAGTTGACGTCAAAGGTAACTATATTTTTCTCTCAGTGTAGCCAATGAATCGAAGCCCTATTACCCTGAACGTTGGATCGTTGGCGATTTGTGTGGTCGCACGGAGAAAAATAATTTGCTGGCCCAGCAAATTTTCTGCTAGTCTAGCAAAATCTTTTCGTTATTATACGGATAGCAACAAGATTTACTAAGCGTACTAATTACTATTATAATTTACTGGATATAATTTACTAAATCTACAAATTATTTAAGAACCATGATGAATTTATATAAGCAGTTGCAGTTTTCCTCTGATAGCAAATAAATTTGTTAAGGATATATTATTTTGCATCGATAGCAAATTAACGTGATTCTTAGGACAAATGTACCCAAAAAATTTTTTTATCCTGGCAACGAAACTACTACTCTGATAACGAATAATTTGTAAAATTATAGTTACGTCAACTAAATTTTTTTGTTGTCATTACGAATATGCAGTAGCAACGACGATTTTGCTAAAAGAGCAAAATTATTTTTCTCCGTGCATTCTTACCGTTTATGCTTACAATGTATCCTTAGAGCGTTCAGAAACATTACTATCGAAGAAAAGAAAACATGTGAACAATGGATACGCGCGACAAATATCGACCCAATTCGCAAACTGATGTACACTCAAATTCAGTTTTTTGCTTACGTGTTTAAAGTAACCCGAGTCGAAATTTTGATTCTGCTTTCAGCCTTACTATTCCACTCAACACCTATTTTGACGCTAAAGAAAATGAAAAGGAAAATGTCGGACATCATCAGAGTCAAAGCATGAAAGAGGACTTTTCTGATCCTATGGAGTTGGTGTGTTACAATTATGAGACACCCTGTATAAAAGAATTATATAGGGTGTCCCGTATCACTTTCACAATCTCTTCTTCTTTCATACCGTTTTGCGATATTTTCAATAATAACCGAGAAATTAAATTGCATCATTAGAATTAAATTTATTTTGCTAACTTAGTTCTTTCTACATTGTAGAATTCATGGTTCAACCTAGTGCCAAAATTTCGACTCTTGTGTTCATCTCAATCCTTCTACGTTCATCTACGTCCTTACAAGAGATTGTAAAAGTGATACGGGACACCCTGTATAATTATTTTATACAGGATGTCTCATAATTGTAACACACCAACTCCATAGTACAGAAAAGTCCTCTTTCATGCTTTGACTCTGATAATGTCCGAAATTTCCCTTTTCATTTTCTTTAGCGTCAAAATAGGTGTCGAGTGGAATAGTGAGGCTGAAAGCAGAATCAAAATTTCGACTCGGATTACTTTAAACACATAGCAAAAAACTCGGGAATATCCAATATTACTCACCCATAAAGATTCGAAGAAGATAGAACAATAAAACAAAGGAGAAGCAAAGGAGAATAATAAATTAATGAAATATTCTTTCACAAGGAAACATACGGAAGTGTTTCTCACCGGTTGCAAAAGGTTTGGATGTGTGACGGAGCAAGTAAAAATAAGAGGAGCACGTGTTCTTGCTGCTATCTACGCTTCTTCACTGCACCAAGGCCAACCTGACACGATATTCCAAGAATATTCTATGAACATTCTTAAGATATAGGAACGCCTTCTAGGCGTCTTTGGGATGTCCCTGAGAGATTTGTGCCATATAGGAAGGGATACCGAAAGTATTCCTGCGCGCGGTCACTGTACACTCTCAGAGTCTGTTACACTTCCCAATGTCCAACAGTCCAGCTGTAGAATGTTCAGGGTTCAGCTGTAGGTCGCAACTCCGCTGTTTCAACCTGGCCGACCTGTGAGAACAGTGATGGGCTTTAATAACAGCTGCGCCGTGCTATGGGCTAGCGGTCTCGTCGACGGGACGGAATTGCAGACTGTGACCGGCGGCGAATGCGTTGGCATTGGCTCCGGACTGCTTCCAGGCGAGGCAGTGCTCGAAGCAGACTGAGTCAGCACCGGCGCTTGGCTAAGATGATACCTGGACTGATGGCTGAACACTGCTGCTGCTTGCTGTTGCTGCTGCGCCGCGATAGACCTCAGGGTACTGTAGAAGTCGTACGGAGGCGGTATGCCGGGAGGGAAGCTGGCGGTGTAGCCTGGAGGACCCTGCAGCAGTCTCTCGACAGAGAAGGTCCCATGCGCCGGCGGTGCTGCCGTCGCTGGGAGAGGTTGCGGCTTGCAAGGCAGCCCAGTGGTTGACGTGGTGACTGCTCCGGGCAATAAACTAGCAGGGTATCCAGCAGGGGTGGTGTAAGCAGCGGTCGCCGAAGGATACGTCGGGCGATGAAGATATGGCAAAGTGTAAATCGTTGACGGCCACACCGGTGACGCGTAAGGCGTCGGGTAAAGTCCAGCCGTAAATGTGGTGCACCGTTTGTAAGCGGCCAGACGTGATCTCGAGGCCGCCGTCGTCCTGCGACGCAGCTTACCGGTTGTACCGCCAATGAACACGTCCTCCGAGCTGGGGTCTAACATCCAGTAGTTGCCCTTGCCCGGGTCGTCGTAGTGACGGGGTACTTTGACAAAACATTTATTTAGCGAGAGATTATGTCGTATCGAGTTCTGCCAGCCTTGTTTATTATTCTCGTAATAAGGAAAATTACGCATTATGTATTCGTAAATACCATTCAAGGTGAGTCTTTTCTCGGGACTCTGGCGAATAGCCATCATGATTAGCGCGTTATAACTGTACGGTGGCTTCTCCGTTTTCTTTTTGTCTTCGCTCTGCTCCTTGTCCTTCTGACTCGTTGGACTGACCGAAGTCGCGTTTCTGGAACAGTCCAACGGCGGGGTCTCGATGCCACCGCCGATCACGTCCAGATCACTACAGTCGTCACTGTCATCAACTCTGTCGTCCGCCTGACTGGCTTCAGGGGAAACGGAGTCGCTGGCCGACGGCTGCGGCGCGCAGGCTTCGGGTACTATATTTCTGATACTAAAGTTACTCTTCAAAGTAGCTCGCGGCGGTGGCGAACCTGTTACTGTGTGTTGTTCGTTTGAACTCTCCATATTCACCATGCTTTAATGACTCTTCGTCGCACTGTAATTCCTCTTCCAGCTTCGTCGATCATCCGAGTCAATGCCCAAGTCTAATTTTTTTCACACTTTACGCAGGCTCGGATTATTATAAATTTTTTTTTGTTATTACTTATTACACAATATATGTATATAATATTTTGCTGAGTACTTTGACGAAATATAAACATGTGTTTTGAGAAATCTTCATCCATGCTTATAGCCCAAATGCATCCGAACGATGCTCCGAGCGAAGAAATCACCACGACAACACTATTCCAACTGTTTCCAACTGTTTCGGATTTGCTCCGCTCAGCGGAGTTGTTCCCCCATGCTTACTTCGCAGTAACAAGCAGACTGACGCTCTTCCGTGGCGCAATATACCGCCGGTCTGATGCTATCCCCGCCACGTTTACGCTTATAGCGTGCGTTTGAACCCGCCCACTTGCAACGGCCTGACGTACCTTTCAGAGTAACCTGACCAATCGACGGGTCCATACAAGCTACATCCAACATCCCCACTACGCATTTTGCGCCCAATGTTTGACAGCAAACAATGCAACTGATGCGGATACTACGCGAAGGCAGGGATTTTGAAGGTAACGACCAAGCCGCGCACGGGTGCCACGACTTGGTACCGCGATGGTGGGGATTGATGCGCAGCCGCAACTCACGTGTACAAACAAATCCAACACCACTGTGCCTGCGTCTATACGCCCTCCTTGCTGGATTGGCACGTTCTTGAACGCGACGAACACCGCAGCGCAGGATCAGCACAGGAGAAAGATGCACAGTGACTTTGTGTGTGTGGGTGTGTGTGCGTGCGTCTTTCACGGCGGGCGAAACGTTCAACTTCGGATTCATAACGCGGCTGAATATGGAGATGACGCGGACGCTTGTTGCAGAACGTTGCTCGCGCACCTGGTGCATAGACTTCATAGTTGTCGTTTGTTGAATTGAGACGCCGTGACAAAGCTGCTATAGAGCTTTGCGCGAGATAAATGTCATTCCCGTGACAACCTTGTGAGACGCGTCTAGCCGCATTGTTATCGCGTATATTTTGCATTTCGCATTGTCGCGCGTATTTGTGCACTCAAAACATGTTTACAGAAACGAGTTAGCGCAAATGCGCTGAACAATGGTTGTATGTAGCAACGTGGAATAATCAGTTCATTAATATGACCAGTTTAATCTACGAATTTTCCAACTGCTAGAATTGGTGAAACATCGTTAAAATGTTAAAAGGAGTTAAATGTTTAATAATTTAGGTGTTGAAGCAGCTTTCATTACTTTATAAATAACGTTACAAAGTGGACAAGTGGTGAAATATTCGGACGCTTTAGGATCTGGATTGTTAAACATGTTGAGTATGTACTAATTTGGCGATTGGCTCTTAATGGGTTCTTTCTTCACCAATCGATTCAAAAACCTTAAAGCCATACTAGCTGTTTTCATTCTATGTAAGCTCGGTGGCTTTCTTATTTCTTTTATATAAGAGTGAATTTGGGTGTCCTGAAGAGAGCAGCTTACGACGGTCGTATCAAGTTATACAAACTTTGCCTAAGGGTATTATTTTGAGCCTGTTATGTGTCCCAACAGGATTACTTCAAAGATCAGAAAAGGATAGTATTTGTTACGACGATGACCATCATCAGCAGCTACCTAATTTAATAATCAAATTTTTCCAACAATATTCATATTATTTTTTATCGGAATTATGTGTTATCAGGATTATTTTAAAGATAAAAAAGATAAAGTATTTGTTACAACGATGACTATATTTATCAGCAGATACCTTCGTATACATACTGAGTGGTTACCATCCATAACTAAAAATTCAGCGCTCTGCACCTTTTAAGTACCGTAATAAATGGAATTAGTATTGCTATCTAATTGTAGTTAGAAGTCTTAACTATGCTTTGATTCCACTGTGCTAGCAAAATAAGCGTTAGTTAGCTTCTGGCAGCCGTCTGAAATGAAAATAATGAAACTTTGATATTCAAAATCTATATACTTTTTCTAGAGATGACTTACGAGACAATTTTTCCTTAAAGATAAACATTTCAACAATAAAATGCTAAATTTTTACTTAAAAATAATAAAAATTACAAGTTACAAATTTTTTTTGCCAAAACTCGGAATTTGGGTCTTTCTCTACAAATATAAGCAACTTTATTTACTAAAATGCAAAAGGCTATAATGTTGGTTATACTAGTTTATCTGGCTATTCTAAACACAGTGCAGGTTTATGGATTTCCGAGTTATGGATTTTGCTATCTTAGCTCCTACTGCGGTGTACAATTTAAGGTTCAACATAGGATCAAAACATGGGTTTCGAGATAATGAGTTATTATCTTAATTACATTTCTTCCTGAGTTCCTTCTTAGATTTTTTTCGCTACGAGCCAGCGGAAACTACGAAAAAGTTTGTTTATTACCTTCATTTTATGATAATACTAAATTGTTGTTGTTAATTTTTAAAGTCTTAAATTTTTAAGGTCTCATGTTCTTAAGGCTCCTGGCCTCTCGCATTGTCTATCTCTTTTTAATGACGTCAGAAGCGAGAAAATGCATGCTAAAAATTCTTGCGAAATACGTTAAAATAAAAATATATATCCATAAAGTAACACAATCGATTAAACAAATTTGTAATTGTTTAAACAAATTTGTAATTGTTTAAACAAATTTGTAATTGTTTAAACAAATTTGTAATTGTTTAAACAATTTGATATTCCGTGCACTCCCCTTTTGCTCTAACAATCAATAATTTGTCGTAAATTAATGTGACATACAATTCATCTTTTTAACCTATTTCTATTCAGATTAATTTACAATAAATTATTGATTATTAGAGCAAAAGGGAGTGCACGGAATATCTTACAAATTTGTTTAATCGATTGCAAATGTTACTTTATGGGTATATATTTTTATTTCAATATATTTGAATCGCAAGAATTTTTAGCATACATTTTCTCACTTCTGACCTCATTAAAAAGAGATAGACAATGCAAGGGGCCAGGAGCCTTAAAGCATCTGTAAAATACATTCGATCCATATGAGTGAAAAATCACATTAATTTGAATGAATCAATGGTCCCTTTACTTTTCGAATAAAATTTCATCCTAAGGAATTTATAGAGAGATCTCTGTAAATTTCTTAAATCTCACTCAAAACGAGTAAAAAGTGGCAATATTTTTTCACTGAAAGCGATTGTGAAAATACCGCCATTGTCGCAGAGTGAATGTTTCACTCAAACTTAGAGTAGATTCTAACGCGCCAATGTTTTGATTGATTAAAACAAATTTGTTTTTGTGACGATGAAATGCATTGATTTCACTTTTTAATTTCAACTAAAAATATCCACTCGACTTTACATCGCAGAATTCACTTTACGTGAGTAAAAAATCATTTGTATTTGAGTGACTCGACTTTGTCGTTTTACTTTTCGAAAGAAATTTCTCTCTAAGAAATTTAGAGAGACATATCTGATAATAACAAGATAGAAATAATGATAACAATCCTTAACATTTTTCAAACAAAGAACTCGATTGCGCTTTCTGGTATTCAAACAATTAGATCATCATTGGGAACGTTACGATCTTTTAAACAAGCGCTTAAGAGACACTCGCATTCAAAGCGAATCCATGAGGCCACCAGTGAAGCTGTGACGATCCGAACGGTTGGAACGAATTGTTAGAATTTTAGGTCACTTATTATATCATCATTGCGAAAGCACGCCGCACATTTCGACACACGTCCGCCGAGACTTTGGGAAACTTTTGATCTGGATAGAACTGTACCATTCCTTTTGCCTCCCATCTCGCGTGGAAAATCGTCTTCCCAGCAGCCGATCGGCGCGCGACACAGTCCATCTATTATTCCGCTCCCTCGTCACTGCGGAAAACTGCAATAGCTGCCCTCAGGTATCGGCAATGGACCAACAAACGAGTTTATTTGCTCAACAATGCTCGTCGACGCGCATCTTGCCGGACAGACAGTGACGCTACCCTGCGAACGATACGTCGGTGATTTTGTACAGACAAGAAAGATGTCGGTGAGAGGTGAAAGGGGTCACCGCTGCGAATCGTTAGCTACCCTATACGGCCATCTATATAACCCTTCGGGGAATCAATAAGCAGCAATAAGGAGCTGTTGAAAGATGAGGAACAGATATCGCATCGAGATCGACCCTTTCCTTCGGATTAACGTTACACGTACACAGTGTGTTGGACATTAGTCGATGAAAATTCTCTCCGACTCAAATAATCGGTAAACTAATCGATAAACGTGATTAATCAATCTTTATGTGTGTAATCACAAATAATTTAATCGATTGATGAAATAAAGGTAAATATGCAGAATAACGGACCACCTTCCGATTTTAATAATTTTCGGATATATTATACAGTTGATCATCCTGAGTAATATTCAAGAAGTTTTAACCGTCACTCGTTGTTTATTAAAAAGTTAATAACAAAGAAAGTGTAATGAATTCCCAGACAGCACACAACGTCCAATGGACGTCCAATTTTGATTTTTATTTAGTCCCAACGTCCATGGATCTAATATGGACGTTTTAATTACGTACATTAGTGGATGTACAAAATACGTTGACTTTTGTACGTTTTAAATACGTCCATTTTATGTATTTCTAAGGAACATATGTTGAGCTCGCATATGCCTTCATTTATTAATAGTATAAGCCGGTTTCACCAACACGAATGAATTTAAACAATTAATTAAATTTATCTTTTCTATTGGAACAATTGTATCTGTCATACGATGATGTGATTGGTTAGTTCCATTAAAAAAATTATCATTACGAGTTTTTGAAAATTGCGAACAAATTAACCCCTCAATTTATATTATTAATAAGGAACCCAACTAGCAAAACAATAAAAACATTAAAACATTTAAAAACATTTTAAAAACATTCAAGAAACATTTTTTAAAACGTTAAAAATAATGGGATAAGTTCCCATTTTTCATTAAAAAATATTTTTTTAACGTTTGAAAAAATGTTTCCTTTTTTAATATTTAATAGAAGTTTGATATTCATTAAATATTAAAAAAAACATAACATTTTTCCAATCCGTTAAAGAAAACATTTTTTAATGAAAAAAGAGAATTTTCTAGACAGCACACAATATTTATGATAAAGATTCATAAATATTTAAGTCGAATTATTTTTTAAAAATTAATATTTTATTTACATAAATATTTTATAAATATTTCTATACATAAAGAAAAAAG